AGAAGAAGATTTGGTAAATATTTTGCAGAAGAATTATTTTATTCACCAAGAGAAGAACGCGGCAAATTTTCCAGAAGAATTATTTTACTCACCAGGAGAAGAATTCGGTAAATAAATTTCAGAAGAATTATTATATTTACCTGAAGAAGATACTGGTGACAATATAATTCATTTGATAATTTCTGGTAAATAAAATAAAAAAGTGAGTAAGCAAATGCCGTAAGAAAAGCAATGTTTTCCAGAAAAATTACTTTATTTACCAGAAGAAGATTCTCTTAAATAAAATGAAAAGTGTAAACATAAGTGAGTCGCAAACAAAAGAATGAAAAATTGAAACTAGAAGGTAGTTATCTGAATATTTCAACTTCACCCTAATGAAAAAATCATTTCTTTTCTTGCAAAAAACCGTTGCATGGCGTTCCAAAATGCAATGGCAGTTAATAACCGCAATCAAACAGAGTGAGAACTCGCCTTGTGCCAATAGCTGCGCATCAAGCGCTTCCGCTGCTCGTTTTTCTGACATTTCTGCTTTCTGTTTCCACTGATCGATTTCTATAGACATCTTCTCAGACTATAATGAAAGTAAGTGCGAACAAAGATTTCAACAAGTACGCGTTTATAATCTCACATACCCTCAGTTTGACCTCAGTGACGTCTCCGGATGAAGAAGCAGCTGCAGTCTCTATAGAGCGTTCAAGCTCTTCAACTTTTGCCTAAACAGGATTTCGATGAGATTATGTATTAAGCTGCTCCGTTGCTCACCTCCAAATCCACTTTTTTCTTATTTACAAGCCGCAGTTCGCTCTCCAGCTCATGGTTACGCCCCTTCACAACATCCATTTCACCTTTGACTACTTCCAGTTCTTCCATTTCCTTGATTCTTTCGCGCAAACGGGAATTCTCCAGCTCCAAGTTTCTTATACGATCTCTTGAAAGGATAACAGGATATGAATAAGCTGTAAAAATCACTGCAAGACTTACTCCATCATACTTCCGTCTAGTGAAGAATCTCCTC